TCCTATCATTAGAGTCAAATTATCATATCAGTCAAGACGACTCTCAAATGAGAGTATATAATCAGATCAGTCACGACAAGATGCTCCGACAAAATCATATGATCCTCACATTAGAACAGTACGATCCTCATATTAGAACCAGAACCATATGATCATACAAGTCACTTCAAGTCCCTCATATGGGGATCATATGATGGTATAATTGCAACAATAATGATCATATCAGTCACACAGACTTTCAAATGGTGTTTTATTATCCTATCATAAGAATAATATGATTGTATCAGTCACAACAAGTCTCTCAAATGAGATTCTACGATCATATCAGTCATAAGAAGACTCTCATATGTGATACTTATATGCATGTGCCATGTTTTGAGGATATGCACAAGCTTACCATGCTTATAGATGCAAATATAATACTGAAGCCTTTACAGTCAAAAGGAGCATTGCTGGATAGGAACCACGCTGGAATAAAATGAAATCAAGAGCAAAGCAAGTTCAGTTGAAATGGTCGTGATCTTTCTGCAAGAGGGGTAGAAATAGAAAAGCTAACTCACTGGTTAATGGAATCATTGCGAGTGGAGATAATAAACTTGCAATGGATTGCACGCCAGCAACAAATATTTTTGCATTCCCCTGAATGAAGGAGGGGGAATATGAGAAAATGAGATATTTTAATTAGAAGCAATCTAGAACAAAATCTTCCGCATTTTGAAGCATCATATTAATAAACTCTAATTGAAGGGGACATAGGAATCATTTATGTTTAAGGCCCTGTTCAAGACTCTTTGTCATTTCATTATTTTTCTTATGACACAATATTCGAATGTTGAAATGACTAGAGGTCGACTCGGTGGATATGACTTGACAACTGAACTCTGAAACTCTGAAAGAGGATTCAATTAGATCTTGTTTTAAGTCTGCAATTATATGATCTTAACAGTGTATGGAAATATTAGGTTTCTAGTGGAACAGGTGAGCCATGTTTAAGATTTCTGGAAAGTAGGTATTCTTGTTGAGAACGTAATTAGTAGTGGCAGTGGCGGATCCAACACAAAAGTTCAGTCATGGATGACGTTGACCATTGACCGTCAACAATGAGCGATCATAAAAGCGATATCGTTTATTAATATTTAATTAAATAATATTAAAAATTATTTAATATATATGTAAATGCACTAAAACGTAAAAATTATATATATATATACAGAAATGATCTAATGAGTACCGGTGCTCATCTTAT